CCTGAATTTCAGTGGTTTGAATGTGAACATTTTTTTTAATCCAAAAGAACACAAGCAAAATATTGTCAGCTAAGGAGATAGAACTCAAAAATACTGTTCTTGCATTTCCGAACAGCATTGTGGGTCAAGGATGTTCCTTTAAGTAGGGATTTGCTTAAAGTAATTCCTCTGCTTTAAAGGATTGATTTACCATTTTAGTTAAAAGAACAAAAGGAATCTGGGCGACTGGGTGGCTCAGTGGGTTAAAGCTTCTGCCTTCAGCTCAGGTCATGATCCCGGGGTCCTGGGATGGAGCCCCACATCAGGTTCTCTGCTCTGCAGCGAGCCTGCTTCTCTTCCTCTCTTTCTGCCTGCCTCTCTGCCCACTTGTGATCTCTGTCTGTCGAATAAATAATAAATAAAATCTTAAAAAAAAAAAAGATCATACAGAATATATTTGATGCTCTTGGATTATGAATAATACTCATTGTTAAGTTCATAAAGTAATGTTCTTTAAACAGGAACATTTCTTCCTGTATTCTAAACTTAGTTGCCTTAAAAATTCGTTTTTTTAAAAAAGATTTATTTATTTATTTGAGAGGGGGGAGGGGCGGAGGGAGAGGAGGGAGAAGATGCCAAGCAGACTTCCCACTGAGCCCGGAGCCCATCCTGGGGCTTGATCCCACAACCCTGAGATCCCAATCTGAGCTGAAATCGAGAGTTGGGTGCTTAACCATCTGAGCCACCCAGGTGCCCCAAGTTGTTTTAAAAATTCTTAAGAAAACCTCAAGCCAACAAATCTTGCAGGGTTATTTGTAAGACCCCACAGCCTCTTCGCTAGCTTGTGGGAGGGTGGGCATTTTGGAATGTGACCTTCAGAGCTTTTTCTAGGTCCTGTCACACTACCTCCCAGACTTTGCAGTCAGTTCATTTTGGAAAGGAAAAAAAACTCTCCCAGCCCTGCAAAACAAAACAAAACCCCACTTCACAAGATAGCCATTCCTTTAGGCTGGGCTAATCTCTCACCTTTGACTTTATTCCATTGAAAGCAAATTTCAGTTCTGAACTCCTAACTTCCACCGAGAACAAATGACTTTTTTTTTTTTTTTTTAAAAGCTGCTACTATGAATTCAGAGTGTTATCTAACCTCTGTGGATTGTTAGTTGGTAGACGATTCGTATAACAGGCAGAAATGTTAGATTCTATCCCTAGACTCTAAGCGTTTTTTTGCGTGCTAGCCAGGAACCTGAACACAACTGTTTCTCTCCGAACAAAATGTCCTGAGTTATTTTTCATCTGCATTATGAAGAGAGAGGCATTGCTGAAAATGGGGATCACATGTAACTTGGGGAAACAACAGCATTATTTGAGTAAGCGGAGATTGGTATTTACATCTTTGTTAACAAAATGGGTTGGACATAAACCACCCCCCTTTTTGTTATTTATAAAAAAAATAAAATTTAGTTATTCTGTGGTGTACAGTAACTATAAAATTATGTCACAGTGGTGTGTTGTGATTATATACATTATATATACTGTATATAATACATATCCATATATGTCCGAGGACCAAACATATCTACAACACTCTTTGAAAGTAATAATATTAAACTATTATGATGTTTAATTATTTCAGTCAGGCCCAGAATCAGCATTCAGTTCTTAGGTATGGGTAGCTGGTTTCAGCTTCTGTATTCAGAATTCCTTTCCTAAGAGTAAAAAGAAATTTGGTCATTGATTCCCTTTCTTAATTTAAATATCCAAAAGATACTAGCTTTTACTATTTTCTCTTCTACTTACCAACCTATGTGTCGGAAAGTAATAATTGAGTTAGGTACAAAATGCAAGTAAAATTCTGTAAAGAAGCAATTTCCTTGAGTCTTAAATTGAATTAAAATTGTTACCTATTCTCTCAACTATTAAAATGGCCTCATAATTGACATATTATCCATAAACCAATTTTGACTTTCCACATGGATTCAAACACTCTCATTCACTTAGTTGAAAAGCCCATGTCTGCTCCAAAATCATTAGACAAAGTACAGACTTGTTTCTCTTCAAACTAATTTCTGGCCATTTAAAAAGTCTGCCCATTAAACTAATAATAATAAACAAAAGAGTTGAAATCATTGTCTGAGGGATGGATCATAAACTCTTATTCTGAATCGTGTTTGGAACAAAAATTAATTAAAAATTAACAAAATGAATTCAATAAAATACAAGTATCATAGTTTGGATCCTTTGGGTGAAAGTACAGACTTTCTTAAGTAATCTTAAGTAAAGGGCACCTGGGTGGCTCAGTGGGTTAAAGCTTCTGCCTTCGGCTCGGGTCATGGTCTCAGGGTCCTGAGATCGAGCCCAGCGTTGGGCTCTCTGCTCAGCAGGGAGCCTGCTTCCCCCTCTCTCTCTGCCTGCCTCTCTGCCTGCCTCTCTGCCTACTTGTGATCTCTCTCTGTGTGTCAAATAAATAAATAATATCATTTAGGGAAAAAAAAAAAGAATCTTAAGTAAAAAGGGGAACTTATTAAGGCGCCTCAGTTAACCTTAATAAGGAACCAAAGTGACACCAAGTGACTAGGAATCCATTTGGACTTACATGTTTGTCGTTTTTCTCTTTCTTGGCAGACGGGTGGACTCTGAATTTGAACGTCACCTGTGAATTGACCTCTAGGAATGGACAGCATCTCTGGCCAACCACCCAGAAGAGAGTACTTCATTGGCCCAGCTAGGGTCATGTGACTACCGATGGCCAGAGGGGCAGAGGCCCCCAGTCTGGCTCTAGTGCGCCCTCCAGAGAAAGCAGATGTTCCTCTGAAGTGGGCTGGGAAGGCACTGGTAAAGTGTTTCCTGCAATACAACTTTCATCAACCCATCCCCCACACTGCCTTCTTTTAAACACGTATTTATCTGCATTACCAGTAAGTATCATTATTTTCTGATACACCTCTGCCTGCTCCTTGCTTCACATTTTATGCTCCAGCAACAAAGAACCGCTTGCAGTCCCATCTCCCCATCCCCTACTGACCACCCACATCCCCCAACACAATCAATAAATGTCACACCTAAGTTCCTGTGGTCCTCTATGCTTGTAACGGTCTTCTCGAGATTCTCTTTTTTCTTTAGGAGTCATGCCGGATGTCACTGCTTCCGGCTGACCATCCAGACTTCTGTACCTTCCTGGGCTAGTTATCTCTTCTTTGTGCATCTAACATTATGCACATAAATCTCTATCATCGTCCCACTGCATTGTTTGTGATTTACTGTTTAGCTTCTGACAGCTTTACAACCCCAGAGTCTGGCCTATAGTGGGCGCTTCGAGATAGTTGAATGAATATGCTCTAGAAGTTTCCTTTCAGCTAATAATTGACTCTCTAGAGTTAAAAAAGAGTGTGTCATTACATGAGAAGTATTGTCTGCGTGAGCCCCTTAGAACTGTTAATTTATCAAAGAATCCCAAGTCAGGAAGTTGTAATCAAAGTCCTCCTCAGGACCAAGGGTCAGCCCACAACTTGAGAGATACCTGTTGTTTACCTGGTGCCCTAACCAGTTTAACTTCCTCTTAAAAGGTTCACTCAGTGTTCTCTCCCATCCTTGTAGATGCAATTTTGATCTAGTGAAGTAATGGGCAGAGCATCAATTCATGAAATTATTTTCTTCTTTCTGCATATAAACATTTTTTAAGGGAAATTTCATTAACTGTATCCTGTGTCCTCTGTGGACTTTCAACTTTAATTTACTGGGTTCACCTTGATTTTTGGTCCTCCAGACATGGATATTTTTTTTTCTTAGCCTCAGAGCTCATTGCTGTACCATGGTCCAAAGGGATTCGACTTCACATCTGTCACCTTAGCATTAAATGCTTTTCTTTTCCTCTTCCCGCCACCCCTTGACATTTTATCTGGTAGGGAAATGTTGGCTGATCCTAAAAGGAAATTTCTCAAACGGTGGACTTTTGTTAATCTCAGGTTATGGGAGGAAACGATACAAGAGCATTCCCGCAGATAAGAGTTTTCAGTAGAATTTAGCCTCCAAAAAGTAAAAACAAAAGAAAACATAACACAACAATAGCAAAACCTCCAGGGCTGCCTTTGGTTACGTTGGGGGCCGGCAGCCCTGCAAGTCCTAATAAATGAATTAGTATCTCAGAAAGGAGATCACTGCGGGGCTGATATTGATCAGGGTCAGCCGGTGTGTTTGCCTGCGATTGTTTGGGGGGTGGTTAATTGAGTGTCAGTCTCGGCCTGTGTCGTCTCGCTGGCGCCGGGTGCTTTTGGATTTGCTAATTTTCGTTAAGTGTCTCTAGCCGGCTCCTCGTCCCCTGTCTCCCCAGGAGAACTTAGCGGCCCCCACTGATCAAGTCTGTCTGTCTGGGCTTTATTGATCAGAGGGCGGGCTGCTCAAGGCGGATGCGCCGAGAGGGAGAGGGGGGAGAAGGCTGAAAGCAGACCCCCGCCCCCCTTCCGGGCTCCCTGACGAAACACGCGAGCCCCCAGGGCTCGACAGGGCCGCCGTGGCAGATGGCGCACGCCGGGGGACCGCCACTTGTCCCTGGGGCTCCTAGAGCGCGCAGCGTGGCCCGGGAGGCCTTCCGCTAGCGACCCCTCGGTCCCTCGCGCGTTTCGGGGGCAACAAGAAAGTAGCCAGGGGATGGGGGACGCCGGCCCAAGTCTGAGTTGTGAAGGTCCCGGAGGCGAGTGCCAGAGACCCGTGGTGGCCAGGATCGACCCGCGCCTCGCGAAGGTCACGGACGCGCAGGCCTCCGCGAGGGGGAGCGCGGGAGACAACAGCCTCCCCGCCCGCAGCCCCAGACGCCGGCGCCGCTAGTAGCCGCCGGGCAGGTCCCACCCGGCCCCCCTCTGGGCCCGCCTCCTGGCTGCGGAGAGATCGACTGGAGCCTGGCGGCCAATCGGGCGGCGCCGGTGCTGCCGGGGCGGGGCCAGGGGCGGGCCCAGGGGCGGGGCGGCGTCTGGCCGGCTCCAGGCGCCTGGCGCTATTTACGGCGAGGATCAGGGCCGGGAGAGGCTGGCGCAAGCTGGAGCTCGCGGCTGGCGGTCTGGGCGCGCGCTCTGGGAGCTTCTTCCTTCGCGGAGTGGCCGGCCGAGGGGGAGCGAGGCCCATAGCCCACCCGGGACTGCGGCGCCGAACCGAGCGAAGGGGCCCCCGGTGGCCGCGGAGTCGGGCCGCGAAAGTCCTCTGGGCTGCTCGGCGCCCCTCCAGCCGCGCTCCATGCTCCGGCCGCGGCCCGGCTCCTCGCCCGGTCGCTGACGGCTCCCGCCGCCCCGGGGAGCCCCCATGCCCTGCGCGCTCCGGGAGCCGTAGGCTGCAGTTGCGCCGCGGCTCCGGGAGCCGGCGGGAGCGCCGCGGCCGTGGGGGGCGTCAATGGATCGCCATTCCAGCTACATCTTCGTCTGGCTGCAGCTCGAACTCTGCGCCATGGCCGTGCTGCTCACCAAAGGTGGGTGCCCGCCGGCCGGCCGAGGCGCGGGCTCTCCGGGGAGGGGCGCGCGGGGGTCCCGGGGCGGCCGCTGCCGCGGGCCTTTGAAGGCGGCTGCCAAGGCTTTGTTAGCGGCGAGCGAGGCTTCCTCCCGCGCTGGAGCCCGCAGGTCGCGACAAGTTGCCTGTTCTTAGAAGTCGCGGCGGTGGCTTCGCGGCCGCCCCCCCCCGCCCGGTGTCCCGGGGCCGGCGCGTGGAGGTGGAGTCAGACCTCGGGGCAAGTGGTTGTCAAAATGTTGTTTTAAGTCTGTCCGCGGCGAACTTTCCTGAACGTCTGCAGCCGGGAAGCGGGGCCGTGGTGCGCGCGGGGACGCAGCCGCCCTCCGCACCCCGCGGCTGGGGGTGGCCGCGCCGAACCCCCGACCCTGCGGGCCGCCGCGCGGGGCCGGAGTGCGGACGGTCGGCGCCCGTCCCCAAGTGTGACTTCGTCCGCGCGTGTGCCTCCGTGTGTGTCTCTCAGTGTCTTTGTGAGCCCGCGAGTGTGAGAAAGGAGGTGCTCCAAGTGTGAGTCTCCGTGTGCAGGAGTCTGATGGGTGGCTTCGCGGGCTGGGAGGGGTGGGCTCCGGCAGCGGTCCGATTTCCCACTCCCCTCAGGGTTTACACTACTACCGGGGGAAAAAAAAGAAAGAAAAAGGTCGGTTTCTTTTTGCTCCCTGCAGTCTTTCGCCTTTTAGGTTGAAATAACCCAAACTCTTAGATTTCAAGGATTCCCCCGCCTCCCCCGCCATGAACTCTCCTTACTGTTCTCCGAACAGATAATTTTTCTTTTTTTTTAAATGGGAAGCGTTATTTAGCTTTTGCACTCCCCCCCCCCTTTCTCTAATTGCCATGTAGCAGGCATGAGGTTAAAGGATAAGCTAGCCCAGAAGGATGCTGTGCTACGGTATTTATTTATTTTGAAAGGAAGGGTGTAATTAACCCTAAATAACAGCCCTGGTAGCCTACAGAGGGGAGCCTCCTGGCCCTATCAAAGGCCGGCAGAGCAGGGAGTGACTGAGGCTGACATGAAGTCACAGATACCGAAACTATGTGCCTGATAATGATATAATTAGGGGATCAGAGATTTCTGACTGCTGCGGACTTCAAAAGCTTTAAAAGAAGCCAGCAGTCTCTCCTGTAGCCATCTTGACTAAAGCAGACATTTTTGTTTAATCACTACATACAGTAACAAGAAAGGGGGGGAAACAGAAGAGCATTGTTCACTGTTTCCAAATACCAGTCCCCTTTCTGGGCCTTTTGCATGCCACAGGAAGAAACTTTATGAAACGACAGAAATATAGTTTTAATACAGTAATACAAAAGTCCATTCAACTTGTTGAAATGTGGCTCCAATTAAAAAAAAAAGTTGTTAGAACTTTCATAGTTACCTGTCAAAATTTTATTAGACTGTTTTAGGTCATTGAAAATACAGTATTTTAAAAAGGCTCTCATAAACATTTTACTCTTTTTTTCTTTTTTCATTCAGTGTTCTTTTTCTGCATTGGGTTTGAGGTGCATGGGATCAAAATGGACTTTGAATCTGTTTTATTTCTACTTTAAATCTGTTGGTGGAATTTGTCAGGCTAGGGATACGTAGTCATCACCACATAAGACTGGTGAGCTTTGTGCAAAGCATCGAGTAAGCTTGGAAAGAGGAGAGAGAACCTCTAAAAAGCAAGGTTCGGGGCGCCTGGGTGGCTCAGTGGTTAAGGCCTCTGCCTTCCGCTCGGGTCGTGATCTCGGGGTCCTGGGATCAAGTCCCACGGCAGGCTCTCTGCTCGGCGGGGAGCCTGCCTCCTCCTCCTCCTCCCTCTCTCTGCCTACCTCTCTGCCTACTTGTGTTATGTCTGTCAAATAAATTAAAAAAAAAAATTTAAAAAGCAAGGTTCCAACTTGAAGGTCTTCCTGGAAAAGGGACTTCGGCCCAGAGTGGGACAGACCAGGGAGCTCGCCAACTGAGGCTAGAGCAGGACCTCCAGCTTTGGACAGTTAAACTCAAATTGCCAGAGATCTGTGATTAGCTGGAAAGTGGTTTTTTTTTTTTTTTTTTTTTTTAAAGAACGAAAGCATTAGCGTCTGATGAAAACCCGAGCATACCATACAGTGGCCTGGAATTTGGACAGATAATTAAATGAGACACTTCACTCAGGCGTTCTCATCCGCAGAGAGGAGGAGGAGGAGGAGGAAGAAAGGAGAGGGTAGGAAGAGGTCGATAAAACCACAGTCCCTGGTGTTTAATTTCAGAGCCGGGGTTTCAGTAACTACTAGAACTTCTCATCGGGGAGCTGGGAAAAGGTGTGTGCCTCAGTTCTTTTTACAGTAGCATTAGTTGTGGCATCTGACAGTGACCAGAGCCCACAGGGTCAGATGTGCTATTGGTGATCTCTCTAAGACTCAGATCATTTCAACTAGAGGAGGATGCTAGAAGCCTCAGAAGCATGCATTGCAGCAAAATGTTACCAGCGACTTGCAACTCCCCAAATAAGTTTTATAAAGGAAACTTGTAATCACTTCCTGGAGAAAAATTTGAGGTTTCCTTAAGGATTTTTCATTCAACCGGCAGAGGATTTTCAGTTTCAGTGTTTCCCCTTTTAGATCCCATGTTGAATTACATGTAAAACTGGGGAGTTAAGGGGAGGAGAAGTTAGCTTTTATACCCGCCTCCCCTCCTCACCCGCCCCCCCACCCCGCCCCCAGTTTTATGACTTTCCATTTGGGCTGAAAGAAATTGACTTTGGCAAGCAAACCACTAATTGTAAACTGCCTAGTTCCTGTTTTACAATATACTGACTAAAAGCTCCTCTGCATGAAAAGATCTTTATAGGCAAAGTTTGCCTTTTCTGGAGAGGTTGCAAATACCTGCCCAGTTTCATAGTTTTAAAACCTCCTGACCGGAGCGATTTCTAGATTGTTGTGTTTCTAGTTAATAACTTTATAAGGTGTTAGCTAAAGCTCTTAAATCTTGGCACAGCCCTTTAAGGTAGTAAACAATTCAGTAGTTCCGATCAAATATTTATACTGACAAAATCAAAAAGCCGGGCATTTTTATGTTGTATGGTCACGTAGGATTAAAATGAATAAACAGTGTAATTCACCTTACGGTAGGAGAATTTCTTGTGATGATTCTTTTCCTTCAGATCCAGAAGTAATATTTTGAATTAACCCGCTAACTCCTCAGAAATCGCAATTGAACTCTGATTCTCTGCAGTTGGGATTAGTACGTTTCTTGCACCCAGGGCTCTCCCAAGTCTGCCCCGGGCTGCCACTGCCGGCGCTCAGCTGAATATCCAGAAGTTCATGCCTTTGAACTTGAGCAGTTGCCCAGGTGGAGGCTTGATCTGGGCTCAGGAAGGCGCATGACGCAATTTCTCATTGTCTTCAGGTGAAATCAGATGCTACTGTGATGCTGCTCACTGCGTGGCGACCGGCTATATGTGTAAATCCGAGCTGAACGCCTGCTTCTCGAGGCTTCTCGATCCTCAGAACACAAACTCCCCGCTCACCCATGGCTGCCTGGACTCTCTCGCAAGCACAGCAGACCTCTGCCAAGCCAAACAGGCCCGAAACCACTCTGGCACCGCCGTGCCCACATTGGAATGCTGTCACGAAGACATGTGCAATTACCGAGGGCTGCACGATGTGCTCGCCCCTCCCAAGGGGGAGGCCTCAGGTAGGTAGAAGCCCCCTCGGACCAGCACACCGGCCTCCTCTGGCGCGCGGCGGCCAGGACTTGTATGTCTGCTATTGATTTTGTTGTTAATGTAATTAGAGACACCAAGGGGAGAGGCCTGGCTGTGGATGCGAAGATGCATCTCTGTTGAGTAGCTTTTGTGTCTGCCTGAGCTTGAGATGTCTGTCTGCATGATAGGTTTTGCCTGGCTTTTCCACTTTTGGAAGACCCAGAAGACCCTTCCTGTTCAGGAATGACAGTCCCTACACAGACTGTTCTCGGAAGCCGATCTTTGCACCGCTGGGCAGAGTGTCATTTGTAAATAGTGTTGATTTCACTGTAAGCTGCTTTCTCACAGGGTGTCTCGTTGCAGATGGATAGATGATCGTAAGTCCCGGTGGGAGGGCGTAACCGCAATCTGCTCACGCGTTTGTGTTGCTCTAGGACAAGGAAACCGCTATCAGCACGACGGCGGCAGGAACCTGATCACCAAAGTGCAGGAGCTGACTTCCTCCAAAGAGCTGTGGTTCCGGGCAGCCGTGATCGCCGTGCCCATCGCCGGCGGCCTCATTCTGGTGTTGCTGATCATGCTGGCTTTGAGGATGCTCCGGAGTGAGAACAAGAGACTGCAGGATCAGCGGCAGCAGATGCTGTCCCGTTTGCACTACAGCTTCCACGGACACCATTCCAAAAAGGGGCAGGTGGCCAAGTTAGACTTGGAGTGCATGGTGCCCGTGAGCGGCCACGAGAACTGCTGTCTGACCTGTGACAAGATGAGACAAGCGGACCTCAGCAACGACAAGATCCTCTCGCTCGTCCACTGGGGCATGTACAGCGGGCACGGGAAGCTGGAGTTCGTATGACGGGGTCTGACCCCAAAACGAAGTTCTTGGACGTTAGAAGGCTTGGGGTTCTGCTGGACAGGAGCACTTTATCTGCAGAAAAAGGAACTCACCGAATCACCTTTGAGAGACGGAATGACCTCTGCAAACAGAATCTTGGATATTTCTTCTGAAGGATTATTTGCACAGACTCTTAAATACAGTCAAATATATTATTTGCTTTAAAATTATAAAAAGCAAAGAGAAGACTTCGTACACACTGTTACCAGGGTTTTGCATCTGAGCGAGCTGGAATTGAGTACCTAAATAAACTAAAATGTGCTCTGTGTAAGCTCCAACATCTTGATTTATTGTAAAGATTTAAAAATATATATATATACACATATATATATATATTTTGTCTGAAACTTAGCGGTGTCTTGTCATAAATTAAAAACTAAGTGGGAAGTGTAAGAAACTTCATGTTAATTATACAAATGAAGATCTGTTGTCACTCATAGTAGGGTCTCAACTATAGGATTTGGCTTGATTTTTGTTTGTTTTGTTTTTCCTTTTTTTTTTTTTTTTTTTTTTTTTTATGAAATCAATTTATTTTTTTTTGTTTTCTTTTTTTTTTTTTTTTTTTTTTTTTGTATTTAAACAAGACCAAGATCTTGTTTGTCCTTACCTGCATATTTGTAGTTTTCTTACAGTGTGGAGAATTTCCAAATGTGTCCTGCCCATCATTCAGTGTCTTACCCACGTGTTTTTGTTAGTTGTTAGGATAACCCTGGTTTTTAGCTTTCACCTATGAGAAATCCAAAACTTCTTTAGACCAGGTGGGATATGGTGGATCAGTGTCTGGAGCTGAGAAAAGGTCATATTCATCAATTTCAGTTGCTCTGAAATACTTTTTAAAAATGTGTCTACCTCCAACCAAATAAGAAAAACCAAGCCCGCTAAACAAAACTTCTCGTAGTTAGTCAGTCACTGTCTACTTTTACTACGTTTGGATTGATTTACCATATCAGTTGGCTTTTGTCTCAGACCAAATTAAGTATTTTGGATCCCAAATTAGCCAAACTTGATTGTGTCATGCTCCTAGTTTTCAAACCTTCCTTCAATGCAGTGTTATACTAATATATTTTTTTTCAGTGTTTAGAAAGGGTTTCAATACTGAGGGTTATTTGTATCAACTGAGATTTAAAGAACACTAGGGTCCTATACCCCCCACATTGACTTCAGCCACTGACACACTGAGTAACAGTGTTTTCACTCCTGTAGGACCTTCTGTCTGGCAAGACTGCTCAGCCTGAATTCAAACCCATGCCATGTTTGTGTACTTGCCCCCCCAGATAGGTCTGTGTTATCCTAAACGTGAGAAGAATTTGCCACCTAGGATTCTTTTTTTTTTTTTCCTGATTCTTTTGTATATTTGAAACTTCTGCTTAAAAATGAACCTCTAGTCTGCATATGTGAGGATGGGGTTTTCTTTTACTGAGTGTTAAAAGATTGTGTGTGTGCATATTGGGGGTTATTTTACGATAAGCATAATTTGGGTCCTTTAAGACAGATGCAGTCACCAAGTTCATGGAAGAATCGGAGTCGAAATGATTAGTCTAAAAAAAACGAGTACCTAGATTATCCAATAATTAAGAGGCCACAGCCCCATACAAAGTAGGCTATGGAATAAATACACATTTTAATAAATGACGGCATTCGTATTGTGCTTTTTGAGAATGACAGTTCTTGCACGTGTGACTTCCAGTTTATAAAGGGTATTAAGTTTTTGGTGTGTTGCTTTTCAAGGGAGCCAGAGAATTGTGGCCTAACCATCCAAACCCCTCTAGAGAAGAAAATTCACTGAGATTGCCCCTTGATGGAGTTTCGACCCTTACCTCCACTGTGAGCTCCAGATCAAATTACAGCAGTTTGATATCTTGAAGATGAAAAGCCTTCTTGCCCCTTCCCCCTTCTGCTTTCACGTACAGCGGTCAAGCATGCTCAGAGACGCCTCGAGCAGCCGGTGTCTGTTAGTCTTACTCACCCCATTTCTTCTAAATACCAGTTAACTAAGAACTCAGCAACTCGTTAAGTAAAGGCAATGAAGGACTTGAAGTCCCGTATTTTGAATCACTTGGAAACCAGTAAACCCCCATCCTCCAGTCACTGAAATCACAGACATTTACTGGAAGATGAATGCAAAATGCCCCCACTTCTGTGTTCAGTGTTTGCTGCCCTGCGTCTTGTTTCTACTATAAATTCACGAGGCCGTTTACACCCATCCTGTTCCGGGGTGGGGGGCAATCATGTGCACCTGCCACCCACCGCTAGACTGGGGGTCCAGGTGCTCACGTGCTTGCCGCATAATTGACTGGCTATTGCTATTCCCGTGTCTTCCTAAGACGAACCCTTTGCCCCTCGCGTGTTGTGTTCATAAATGAGATACTTACTCATGGAGTGTTTGCGCACTGCCCTCGCCACCAGTCTTAAAAGGCAGTTCTGGGCATAACTCGGCCTTTCGACGAAAATACTGCGGGTCTCTCAACTTTGATTTTTACCAAGAACTAAATATAGGTTCTCCTGTTGCTTTCCTGTGAGAGCGTAGAGGCTGCCAAGAGCAGAGATAAAGGGCCCTTCATGAAATAACTACCTACCTGAGTCGGTGATGTAAGTAAGGTGATGACTGCTGTGTTTGTTTTTCCCTCCTGGAGATGTTTACTGTTACTTTGAGGTGACAGGACAAGGCTGAGCTAACCAGGAACAGCCCTTGTTTAATATTGACATAGAACTAACCCCCCCCCCCAAGTAAGATTCTTTTTCTAAGTGGAAATTTGCCCCAACCAGAGACAAATGGGACCAAATTTGCCATGATGTTTCTATGTCTACCCTCTTCCCATTCTCTTCCTTTTGAAAAAATTGATCTGTATGTGGTTATGTCTTTTATGTTATTTCCACCCCCCCCCAACACACACACCCTTATTTTGAATGGCTCAGAGGCTTCCTAGGAATTGACTGGTGTGTCTCTAATTTCTGCTGAACTGATTTTATTAAAAACACTGCACCATAGGGGGTTTGACCTTCTAAAATACCAAACATGTCTGCTTTAGAAAATCACAAAGCTTTCCTCTGAAGAGCTCGTAAATCTGGTTTCAATATGGGTTGATTATAGGCTAAAAGCTTGAAGGCAGGGGCATCCAGTATCATGAGTCTGGAACTAGCCTTTTTGGGGCCAGGACAGCTTTTTTTCCTTATAACTTCTAATTGGTCCTCTTCTCTGTCTCAGCCCAAATAATGTCAAACCTCCACCAAAAGTTAAACGGCGGGATGAGGCCGAACTCATAGTAAGGGTAGCGGTCAAGTGCACTTGGGAGTCGCACAGCCAATGCTGTGTTCCAATGCTGCCTTTGTCGTGCTAGCTCTGTGAACTTGGGCAAATTCCTTAAGCCCTTTGAATACTCAGTTTTGTTACCTATAAAATGGGGACAATGATAATGCATTACAAGATTATTGCTTGGAGGTATGTATGCTAGCTATTTCTATCAACACACACAAGCGTCTTCAATGAACTAGAGGGGCCCAGCAAAATATTCCCCAAAATTTGAGGGGCGCCTGGGTGGCTCAGTCGTTAAGCGCCTGCCTTTGGCTCAGGTCATGATCCTAGAGTCCTGGGATCGAGCCCCACATCAGGTTCCCTGCTCAGCAGGAGTCGTTGTTTCTTCTGCCCCTCCCCCTGCTCATGCTTTCTCTCTCTTTTTCTCTCAAATAAATAAATGAAATCTTTAAAATACTTTTTTTCAAAAAGAATTTAAGAGCTTGGGCCTGTTACTTTTACAGTGGACATTTCCTTGACTTTTTTATACTTCGCTCTCTCATACCAGAGATTTTCAGCCCTTTCAGCGACCTGCGGACTGCATGTAACCTTCTTAATACAGGTTTTTAATGTATTGCTTTTAGCCTCTCATCTACTAATGACATTGGCTTGTCATTGTTTCCTTTTGGAATAATCTCGTGGCTGCTGATGGAAACACTTCAATTTTATGGACCTTTTTTTTTTGGTATTTGACAGAATGATGGTTAATCCAGTGAGAAAATCAAGGGAGTCCAGTTCGCTGACGGATACTGTTTCAGAATCACTTGACCGGTTTGTGCGTGATGGATGCTTTCTAGACAATGGCCACCAGCACTTACAGTTTGCCCCATAGGTGCTCCCACCAAAAGACAAGTAGTTCTGCAATGGGTTTTTAGGGCAGTGTGGACGTTCTCACACGGGGCAGGGGACGATCGTCTAGTTAGTGACAAATCCGCTTAATTCCTCAAGAGGAAGCTGATTTAGTTGGGGACTCTGAAGGTCCCAGTTGTGATGGAAAAGGAACTGCTTGAGAGACTGACCCACGCTTCGTCCCTCTCTTAATTCCGTCCCTGTTGCTCTCACTGTGCTGATTTAAAAAGGCAGGTCACTGATCTGAGAATTTGAGACCCGATGAAATAACAAAATTAAACCCTTCTTGAAAATTTGACAACTCTTCATTTGGAATAGGTTCAGGCTCTGAACACGTCCTGGCTGGTCGGTGCACGGTCCTACCGTCCTGCGCGTGATGGCGTAATTCACTTGTCTGCCCTTCTGGGAATTTGGAGATTGGCCTGGGGAGGGGCTGGGGCTCGTGCAGCCGGAGAGGGATAGACTTCTTGCAGGAAGGTGGTGATTTTCCCGGGGATCTGTTTTGGAGAGTTTCAATGTATTATAGGCCGAGGCCGATGAGCCATGTTTATACAAACTTTCCCCATTCTGTGAATATGAAAAGGGATTTCAGGAAAGGCATCGAGAGAGGCAACCTGGGGAGATACTTTGGATAAGCAGGTAGGCAATGTCTCAAGGCCTCCGTCATTCCTCAAGACCTTAGGGAGTCACCTATCTAGCAGCCTGTCGCCAGCTGGCCTCCTAGAGGCTCCTTCAAACTGTATTTGGCAGCCTAGGCCTTGCAGACTGGATTGTTGTTGGAGTGACCCGAGCGGAATCCTGAAGAGGTGAGCTGGTGACTGTTTCTGTGTGTGTGCATATACGTACATAGTGTGGCGTGTGCTCCTCTGTGCCATGCTGGCCGGACAGTCTTGGAAATCCTGGAACAATTTCACAGCGAACAACTTTCAAGGCAGAGTGTAAGTAGATGTTGGAATTCATAGGAAGTCAGCAATTTGTTTTTCGACACGTGAAGACTGAGTTAGTTGTGATGAATTAATAAAGTCGGGCTGTTGTGTAAATTCACTCTGAGAGATCTCACATTACAAACCTAATGGAACAAAAATTGTTTTAGCAGTTAAAACCAAGAGAAGTACAGAAAGCTCTTTATCCCTGGTC